TGTTTGATGGGGACAGTGTAGAGGGAGCTTTACTCTGTATCTAACCCCATGCTGTCCCTCTCCTGTGAATGTTTGATGGGGACAGTGTAGAGAGAGCTTTACTCTGTATCTAACCCCATGCTGTCCCTGTCCCTGGGAGTGTTTGATGGGGACAGTGTAGAGGAAGCTTTACTCTGTATCTAACCCTGTGCTGTCCCTGTCCTGGGAGTGTTTGATGGGGGACAGTGTAGAGGGAGCTTTACTCTGTATCTAACCCTGTGCTGTCCCTGCCCTGTGAGAGTTTGATGGGGGACAGTGTAGAGGGAGCTTTACTCTGTATCTAACCCTGTGCTGTCCCTGTCCTGGGAGTATTTGATGGGGACAATGTAAAGGGAGCTTTACTCTGTATCTAACCCTGTGCAGTCTCTGTCTTGGGAGAGTGTAGTGGGGGGATAGTGTAGAGGGAGCTTTACTGTAGTTTGTTGCAGCTCATGGGAAAAGTGCAGCAACCAAATTCATGCACAGGAAGATCCCAAAATGCGATAATGATCAGATTGTGTTTGTTTTACCGGTGCAGAATACTGGGCACCAGACAGAACTTGCCTCATCTCTCAGGAATAATGCTGGGGGACATTTTATACCCACCCGAGAGGTCAACTTGGCAAAATGCTAGCATGGTGCTAATGTCATTCACCTTGTGGGCCAAGCTGATATTTTGGGGACATAGGTTCAAATCATTGGTATTTAAAGCTAATCTCAGTAATGTTGACCATGGCACCTCTTATCAATTGTCATAAAAACCCATCTGGTTCACTAATGCCCTTTAGGGAAGGAAACTACCATCCTTACCTGGTCTGGCCTACATGTGACTCCAGACCCACAGCAATGTGGTTGACTCTTAACTGCCCTCTGGGCAGTTAGGGATGGGCAATAAATGCTGCCTGGCCAGCGATGCCCTCATCTTGTGAATGAATAAAGAAAAAAATTCAACTTATCCAAGCCCCTCATGATTTTATAAACCTCTGTAAGGTCACCCCTCAGCCCCCTACACTCCAGGGAAAAAGTCCCATCTTTCCAGTCTATTTTTATATCTCAAACTCTCCATTCCTGGCAACATCCTGGTAAATCTTTTCTGAACTCTCTCTAGCTTAATAACATCCTTCCTATAACAGGGCGACCAGAACTGGGCACAGTGCTCCAGAAGAGGCCTCACTGACATCCTGTACAACCTCAACATGATGTCCCAACTCCTAGACTCAATGGCCTGAGCAATGAAGGTAATTGTGCTAGGAAGGGGGCTCACCAACGTCCTGTACAACCTCAACACGAAGTCCCAACTCTAGCTCTTGTGGTACAGTGGTAGTGTTCCTGCCTCTGAGCCAGGAGACCTGAGTTTGAGCCCCGCCAGCCGCAGAGGTGCGTCATAACATTTTGCAACAGGTTAGCTCTGCATCCTTGCATGGAACATTCCGGAAGCTCTACATTGTAGCTTGCACTGAGGCTGCTCCTGGGTGCTAGATACTTACATCCCACAGACTGTCCAGTTCGGGGCAGAACGGAAAACACTGAGGATCGAAGTGCATTGAATCTGTTAAAAAGTGGGAACAAATCAGTCGGGTTAGTCCCCATGGTCTTCCATCGGATTTATCAGCCAGTTCGATGTATAGCTCTCCCTCTTTACCTCCCTAATCTACCCAGAAACTACCGCGATCGGTGACCAATTTGATCGCTCCCTCTATCTCCCTTTCATTTTTGTCACCTATTCCCCCTCATCTCCCAGAGAGATGCACACCGCCCCCCCCCCCCCCCCCCCCCCACCCCCCCTCCTGACGAGGCCAGTCAGCTTCCGGCCCTTCAGAAGAAAGGCATCTGCATTCAAACAGCGCATGTCACATCCTGAAGTCTTCCCCCTTACCCAACCCCAGATGGGATGAAGACGCAGTGACTGGTCACGCTGTAGGTAGATGTGCATGACAAGACTCCACAAATAGCAAGGAGCCATTTTGGTTTTTTTTAGGGTGGTGTTGGCTCAGGATTGAGCAGGGCACTGGGAAAATTCACCTTTCACTTCATAAACAGCAGTGCTCCTTAAGATGGCTAACACAGGGCCCACACTATCTTTCCTTTCAGTGAAAATAATGTCTCCTTTGAGACAGGGTCTTTTAAATCAGTATCTTATCATCAAGCAGTGAAGGTGCTGTTCCTGGCTGAATCCTCTCCAGTGCATAATACTCTGTGTTTTCCCTCCTGAAGGAATAATTACATTTGGGGCAACATTGTTCCTGTTTATCTAACGTACTGGGATGTGGATAACATGGTATTGAAAGATCTAACAGATATTTAATGTCGCTTATTAATATTTCTTCAGCTCGCACTAACATATTCAGTGATCAAAAGTAACACTTTTCCTCAGGGTCTCAAGTCTTTTGATGCCATCGTGGTCATTTCACTGAACTTGCAATCCAGCACTCCAGGTTAATGCTGTGGGGACATGGGTTCAAATCCCACCAGGGCAATAAAGATCCCGGATGGGCTGGGACTCTCTGCCCTGAAGCATAGGAGACTGAGGGGTGACCTTATAGATGTTTATAAAATCATGAGGGGCATAGATAAGGCAGATAGCCATCAGCTTTTCCCCAGGGTAGGGGAATCTAAAACTAGAGGGCATAGCTTTAAGGTGAGAGGGGAAGAGATACAAAAGGGTGCAAAGGGGCAATTTTTTTTCACATGGAGGGTGGTAAGTGTCTGGAATAGGCTGCCAAAGGTAGTGGTGGAAGCAAGTACAATTTTGTCATTTAAGAAACATTTAGACAAGTGCATGGATGGGAAAGGTACGGAGGGATAGGGACCAAATGTAGGCAACAGGGACTACCTTACATTGTGAAAACTGGACGGCATGGGTAATTCGGGCTGAAGGGCCTGTTTCCATGCTGTGCACTTCTTTGACTCTAAAAGCTAACCTAACGATGAGCATCTAACCCCTAAAGTAAAACAGAGAGCCACAGATGCCAGAAATCAGAAATGGAGACAGAAATTGCCGGAGAAACTCAGCAGGTCATAGAGTCATAGAGATGTCCAGCACAGAAACAGACCCTTCAGTTCAACTCATCCATGCCGACCAGATATCCTAAATTAATCTGGTCCCATTTGCCAGCATTTGGCCCATATCCCTCTAAACCCTTCCTATTCATGTCCCCATCCAGATGCCTTTCAAATGTTGTAATTGTACCAGCTTCCTCCACTTCCTCTGGCAGCTCATTCCATACACGCACCACCCTCTGTGTGAAAAAATAGTTTGGCAGCATCTGTGGAGAGAGAAAGCAGAGTTTAACGTTTCAAGTTCTTCTACAGAACTGTTAGTTAAAAACCCCGTCTGGTTCACTTCAGGGAGGGAAGCCTGGGCTCCTTACCTGAAGCAATAGGGGTCAACTCTTGGTTGTGGTCCGAGATGGCTCGAACTCACTCCTAGGGGCAATTAAGGGCGGGTAATAAATACCAGCCTCACCAATGACCCCACCCCCAAAAACACATTTAAAGAATGAAAAGAATTGCTTCAAGTGGCCCCAGGTACGATGGAGCCTGAGAGTTTTGTACTCTGGTGTCACTGGTTACGATACAGTGATACCGCTGTTAAAGTCACACTAACCATGAGACATAACACAACAGGCCTATCAGACTCTATCACAACTCTACGACGCTATTGGACCAAGTGCAAGTAAATGGGGTTGGTGTGGCTTGGTTTTGGTTGGTTAGTACAGACATGTTGGGCCAAAGGGCCTCCTTCTACGCTCTACAGGTGGCTCAGCGGTTAGCACTGCCTCCTCACAGGACCAGGGACCCGGGTTTGATCCCACCCTCAGGCGACCGTCTGTGTGGAGTTTGCACATTCTCCCCGTGTCTGCGTGGGTTTCCTCCGGGTGCTCCGGTTTCCTCCCACAGTCCAAAGATGTGCAGGTTAGGGTGGATTGGCCATGCTAAATTGCTCATAGTGTTCAGGGATGTGCAGGCTTGATGGGTTAGCCATGGGAAATACAGGGATAGGGTGGGTCTGTGTGCGATGCTCTTCAGAGGGTCAGTGTGGACTCAATGGGCTGAATGGCCTGCTCCCAATGTGTACAGATTCTGTGATCAGAACCAAGAACTGTGAGGTTACAGGGATAGAGTGGGTCTGGGTGAGATGCTCTTCAGAAAGTCGGTGTGGACTTGATGGGCCGAATGGCCTGTTTCCACACTGTAGGGATTACTGAACTCTGTGAGATGCAATGAAATTGCAGGCAACAGATCTCTTCTCAAAGCCTGCGCTGAAATAACTCCACAGAGGCCGGTATCCCATCACCCCTTATTTATTTACACGTGGAGCGTCCTTGACATTGATCCAGCTCCCTCAGAGCCAGCTCTCAGAGTGAACACAACCCCTGACACTCCTGTTTATATCTGTCAGGGCTCCCTGATCGGACCAGGTTAACAGCCCCAAACAGGGAACTTGTATTCTGTGAGGACCCCCTGGCTGACCTCATTTCAATCCCTCAGGCCACTGTGACCTCAGTTGGAGTCAATGACGCTCTGAGGTTGGAGGGAACAAGTTTTCCTCCCTTCCCATAAATGATGCTAGAGAAAACCAACCCTAACTGACAGGAGGAAATGTGTCACAAAAACAGAAATTGCTGGAGAAACTCAGCAAGTCTGGCAGCGTCTGTGGGGAGAGAAATCAGAGTTAACGTTTCAGGTCCTCAGGACAGCTCTGAAGTAGGGTCACCGGACCCGAAACGTTAAACCTGCCCTCTCTTTCCCCACAGATGCTGCCAGACCTGCTGCGTTTCTCCAGCAATTTCTGCTCTTAATTCTGATTCCCAGCACCCGCAACTGTTTTCTCTTTGTTTCGCAAGAAATGTGTGTTCAAATCCCTCCATCTCTTCATCCTTCCATATCTCTCTGACCTCATCCTGCCGCAGGATGGTTGAAAGCTCCCCGCTCCGTCTCTTGCATACCCCAGCGTTCCATTTCTCCACCGTGCGGTCCCCTGGGCCCCCAGGCTCAGGAATTCCACCCCTGAATATCTCCGTCCTCCTTTAAGACCCTCCCTGAAGATCCGATCCTCTGGGCATGTTGTTGCAACTTCTCCTGATGCAGCACCAGGGCGCTATGCAAACGCAGGCTTTGCTTCGCTGAGTTTTCGGTTCCGAGAGGGAGCACTGAGCGGTGGCGGGAAATGGCGTGGGGTTTGACGTGTAAAGGTCAGGGTAGAATGGAATAATTCACTCTTTTGTCTCCAGCCGATGTCCACTGTGCCACCCGGGCTGCAAGAAAGACCCCCAGGGCATCCTGAGCACCAGTGCCAGCCCATGACACCACAGATCAATCTTTACCCCCTCAGTCAGATCCAGCCTGGGCGTGGGATCTTGCTGTGCTTTCTCGTTTTGTGACACTGACCACCCTTCTGAAATACTTCCACCAGTTGCAGAGTGCCTTGAGGTGTCCTGAGAGCCCACAGGCGTTATATCAATGCAAGATTTTCTACCTGCCTACAGCTGGTATACGCTAGACACAGGATGGTTGGGGATCTGCATCTCGAAGGAGTCAAAGGACAGAGGGAGAAGATGGCACGGAGGGAAATTTGCGGATGTTCAGTAAGTATAAATGATGAATTAGTTCGATACTCAAACCACTCTCTCTGTCTGCTCACCTCGTGGTAAGGACACTATCAGCATCTAGAGCCAGGAACACAGCACTGCAGTCAGAGAGCAGGGAGAAATAACAGGGATACGGGGAGAGAGAGACACACACACAGATAGAGAGCAGGGAGGGAGAGAGGCATAGAGAAACACAGAGACAGAGAGAGGGACAGAGACGCAGAGCAGGGATAGAGAGAGATGGAGACAGAGAGCTGGGACCGAGAGATGGAGAGAGAGAGCCTGGAGAGAGAGAGAGCATGGAGAGAGAGACAGAGAGCTGGGACACAGAGACGGAGAGCATGGAGAGAGAGAGCATGGAGAAAGAAATAGAGAGCATGGAGAGAGAGACAGAGAGCTGGGACACAGAGACGGAGAGCATGGAGAGAGAGAGCATGGAGAAAGAAATAGAGAGCATGGAGAAAGAGAGAGAGCATGGAGAGAGGGACAGAGAGCTGGGACACAGAGACGGAGAGCATGGAGAGAGAGAGGGAGAGAGCATGGAGAGAGAGAGCATGGAGAAAGAGAGAGAGAGCATGGAGAAAGAGAGAGAGCATGGAGAGAGAGCGAGCAGGGAGAGAGATAGAGACAGAGAGGGGGGGGGGGGGAGAGAGAGAAACACAGACAGAGAGAGAGGCTTAGAGAGAGAAGGGAGAGACGAAGAGAAAGAGACACACACAGAGTAGGGAGAGAGAGAAAGAGACAAAGAAAGAGACAGAGAGCAGGGAGAGAGAGCCAGAGAAAGAGATAGACTGACAGACAGAGGCAGAGAGAGAAAGAAAGAGCAGGGAGAGAGAAAGCAATAGAGACAGAGAGAGACAGAGGGCAGGGGGAGAGACAGAAAGACAGAGAGCCAGGAGAGAGCAAGAGAGATAGTAGCACAGACACAGAACAGGGAGAGAGAGAGCTTGAGGAGCAGAGAGATGTACATGGGGGTGGAGGGGGTGTGTTACCGCTCAGGATCAGAATGTCAGATTGCCTTTAAGGGTCAGCTCATCACTGTATCTTGTGACCTGACCGTCTCTAGGTCTCAGACTCCTCTTACCCCAGACCCGTTGAAGAACAACATGTTTCTCTGCTGTAAGCGACGACTTAAAGTGAGCCCAGACCCTTATGTGCCTGAGGAATGTCATATTTGTACGTAACAGTTAATTGTAATAAAACCTCTGTTGAATTCTTCAATACCACAACATCCCCAACAATTTCTTCTGTAACGAGGGATAGCATAAACATTACCGATCAAATAGAACCAGACCCCTGAGGCAACCTCACAGCAGGGGCTAGGGTAAGAGGGAATGTAAAGAACAGAGAGAGTGAGAAAGGAGGGAAGGAGGAACAGAGATAACAGAAAGGACAGGAAGAAAGAGAGAGAGAGGAAGAGTATGAACATGGAGAGCAGGGAGAGAAAAACATACAGAGAAGCAGGGAATGAGAAATTGTAGAGAGCAGGCAGAGACACAGAGAGCAAACAGAGGGTCAGCATGGACTGGTTGGACCGAAGGGCCTGTTTCTGTGCTGTATAACTCTATAACTCTGTGAACAGAGAGGGGCACGGCATCGAGAAAACATAAACACAAGATTTCGAGTTTGCTGTAGACAGCAGGTACGGCCAATGCGGAGAACAGGAGCAGACAACAGTTTGAGCTCCTTCCCAAAAGAGTTCCTTCTGAAAATAATTGTCTAAAATCTCACCATGGTTTAATCTGCATTTCACTTCTTCCAGTTCCCTCATCGTGTTCTTTAATTCTTCCTCCAACCTTGAGTTTCTGGCATTTGCTTTTGTCAGTAGCCTAGAGAGTGAGAGAATGAGTTTGAAAGTCTGAGAGGAAGGGAGTGATGGAGAACCATCAAATATAGCAACACAGCGATTCAGAGAGAGAGAGAGTTTGAGAGAGGGAGAGAGAGAGAGTGAGAGAGAAAGAGAGAGAGAGGGAGAGAGAGAGAGTGAGAGAGGGAGAAAGAGAGAGTGTGAGAGAGGGAGAGAGAGAGAACGAGAACGAGGACTGACGTTGTGTATAAACTGGAAGAGGACGTTTGTGGAGCTGTTAACACTAACATTTATTGCTGTTCCTAATTACCCTTTATATATATCATTTGCTTAACAATTGCTCAGAGGGCAGTTAAGAGTCAGTTCCATTGCTGTGGGTCTGGAGTCACATGTAGGCCAGACTGGGTAAGGGTGGCAGTTTCCTTCCCTAAAAGGGACCAGCTGGGGTTATTATGGCAATCAATGATATGGGTCAACCTTTAAACTCTAGACTTTTTTGAAAAAATGTTGAATTTTTAGTTAAATTTCCACCAGTTTCCTTGGTGAGATTTGAACCTATACCTCACGCGATACTAACCTGGGCTTCTCGGTCACCAGGTCAGCAACATTACTGCTATTCCAGGGGGAGCACATCAATTAGCAGCTATGTAGGGAATATAAACTGTAATGGGAGGGGATGGATAGATACAATTTCATCGAAAACCTCCATACAATATAGAAACGCAGAAAATAGGAGCAGGATGAGGCCATTCAGCCCTCTCAGCTTGCTCCCCCATTTGATCGGATCACGGCTGATCATCCAACTCAGTCCCCTTGTTCCTGATCTCCCCTCCCCCCACACCCTTTGATCCCTTTAGCCCCAAGAACTATATTTAACTCCTTGAAAACATTCAATGTTTTGGCCTCAACCGCTTTCTGTGACAGAGAATTCCACAGGCTCCCCCACTCTCCGGGTGAAGATATTTCTCCTCATCTCAGTCCCACCCTGTACCCTTAGCCTGTGATCCCCTGGTTCTGGACTTCCCCCCCAGTCATCAGGAACATCCTTCCTGTGTTTACCCTGTCTGGTCCCGTTAGAAATTTATAGGTTTCTGAGATTTCCCCCTCATTTTTCTCAACTCCAGTGAGTATAGTCCTAACCAATCCAGTCTCTCTCCATACGTCAGTCCTGCTGTTTCAGGAATCAGAATGGTGAGTGTATTTGCTCAAATGTACTTGGTAGACAGTATATACTAGTTTATTGTACTTGGGGCACAGCCTATACTAAATGAAAAGGACCAGAATGCATACTGTAATGCCATAATGGGAGAGTAAATGGAGTTCCTTAAAATAATTAAATAGAGTGTACAGAATTACTGTATTTACTGTAAGGTGAGAGCTCGCCATTAGTGTAATATTGTAAATGAAGGGCATATAAAGTCACTGAGTATATTGAAGCAGGAGGTGACAAATCAGTGACAATGGATACTAGTGTCCTACCTTTCGGCGTTCACGTTTACGGTCTTTGTTTCCAGAAGCTCAGTGTCAAGAATCTCTCTGCCCTTCAGTACCTCCTCCAGTGCTGACTGCAGTGTGAATAGGATTGACAGGTCCAAGGTGGAGATATCAGGCAATTGCCGAACCAGATCCTGGAGGCATGAGGGGAGCCGCTTTAGCTGTGACCGTCTGCAAACCCCAGAAAGCTCACTCCCTGCGCCTCCTACCTACTGCACACACTCGCTAGGACAGGCACAATGAGCCAAAAGGCCTCTTTCTGCACTGTAAAATTCTACGATTCTGCCTGTCTCTCTCTCTCTGCAAATTCTGGAGTCAGCAAAGTTGTAATTGAATGGCACTGTCTCCCCCCAGCACTCCCACACCCACCCCGCTATAGCATAAATCCTGCCCCCTCCACATTCCAGGTCAGCTCTGATGAAGGGTCATCGAGACTCGAAACGTTAGCTTGCTCTCTCTCCATGGATGCTGCCGAACCCGCTGGGATCTCCAGCATTTTATGTTTTCAGCACAGATTCCAGCATCTGCAATAATCCCCTCCTGTTTGTAACTTAACTATTATACTTTACTCTACCTGGTGGCACAACTATGTTTGAGTGAGACGTTGCAGTTACTCCTGAGATAACAAGGTGTAGAGCTGGATGAACACAGCAGGCCAAGCAGCATCAGAGAAGCAGGAAAGCTGACGTTTCGGGCCTGGACCCTTCTTCAGACCCTTCTTTCTGAAGAAGGGTCCAGACCCAAAACGTCAGCCTTCCTGATCCTCTGATGCTGCTTGGCCTGCTGTGTTCATCCAGCTCTACACCTTGTTATCTCAGATTCTCCAGCATCTGCAGTTCCTACTATCACTGCAGTTACCCCTGCTGTCCTAGAGAGGACGCTGCTACCTCGTTACAACAACAACTTACCTGCGGCCAACACCAGAAGAGATACACTGGAGATCCCGTCAAGGTTTTGCACAGCGCTAGCGCCCTCTCAACACACTTCCTTCCTCACATCTATATCATGAACAAATTCATACCATGGAAAGAAAATAAAGACTTGCATTTATAGAGCACCTTTCGTGGATTAAGGAAGGCCCAAAGTGCTACACCGCCAGTGACTAGGAAATGGACCAAACGCAGGCAAATGGGACTAGATCAATTGTGAAAACTGGGCAGCATTGACAAGTTGGGCCGAAGGGCCTGCTTCCATGCTGTAAACTTCTCTGACTGTACTGAATAGCAGAGCAGGTTGAGGGCCGAATAGCCTACATCCATTCTAAATTTGTAACAAATGGATACCATCAGCTTTTTTGGCCCCACTACCAAAGACTCCACTTTCCAGTTGAGTTGTGAAAGAGGTGGGGATGGGGGAGAAGGGAGAGGGAGATGAATTTCCTCTGGCCTCTCTAAGCCTCAGGTACATGGCCTGACACACGGTCAGCTCACTGCAGGACTCATTCCTGTTCAAACAGCAACTGGAAACACTTCCGTCCGAATAAAAAGCCTCGCGGTGTTTTTAAAAACCAGTGCAGGGGGCCATTCTATCTCGTCTTGTTCAAAGAAAGTCCAACTCAATCCCTGTTTCTGATTTCTCCCTTTGATCCCTTAGCCCCAACAACTACATCCAACTCCTTCTTGAAAACATTCAATGTTTTGGCCTCAACCTCTTTCTGTGGCAGAGAATTCCACAGAATCCCCCACTCTCCGGGTGAAGACATTTCTCCTGAGTAACACACACACACAGAAACACACACTCGCACACACATACACACAGACAGACAGACACACACACACACACACACAGACACACACACACAGACACATGCACACACACACACACACACACACAGAGACAGACAGACACACACACACACAGACACACACACGTGCACACACACACAAACACGTGTGCACACATACATATACACACGTGCACACACACACCCAAACAGTCCACACACGCACACGTGCACACACACACAAACAGACACACACACATATGCACACACACACACGTGCACACATGTGCGCACACACACGTGTACGCACACACACACACACGCATGCACACACACACATATGCAAACACATGCACACACACATTCACACACATGTGTACACACACACACGTGCACGCACAAACATACATATGCAAACACATGCACACACACACACATGCATGCACACACACACATATGCAAACACACACATGCATGCGTGCGCACGCGCGCGCGCGCACACACACACACACACACACACACACACACACACACACACACACAC